TCTCCTCCTGTGCTGCAAACTGTTCATTGGACACACAAATATACAATATTTACTACACAAACACAAACATGTCGACTATAAGAAGAAAATAATCTGTGTAATATGTTTAAATATTTAGGGATGCACAATATGTAATCTGTTATTGGCCAATATTAGAGATTTATTCGGAAACTGTAATATTGGATATATAGTAATGATATCGGCACATCTTGCAATAGTGAGCTGATATATATATATTGGCCAATAACCAATATGGCACAGATATTTTGTGCCAACATTACAGATTTTTATTTGATATATATCTAATGATATATATATATATATATATATATATATATCTCCAATCAACAGATAAATAAAAATCTGTAATGTTGGCACAAAATATCTGTGCCATATTGGTTATTGGCCAATATATATATATCAGCTCAATATTGCAAGATGTGCCGATATCATTACTATATATCCAATATTACAGTTTCCGAATAAATCTCTAATATTGGCCAATAACAGATTACATATTGTGCATCCCTAAATATTTAAACATATTACACAGATTATTTTCTTCTTATAGTCGACATGTTTGTGTTTGTGTAGTAAATATTGTATATTTGTGTGTCCAATGAACAGTTTGCAGCACAGGAGGAGAAGAGACAAAAGAACGAGCGTGTCCATCAACACCAGAAACATGAGACTCAGATGAGAGATCTGCAGACGCAGTGCGACGCCAACGTCAGAGAACTACAGCAGCTGCAGGTACACACTTCAGCAAACCGTACAGCATTTCTGCAAGTGCGTTATTTTTATAAATTGGTTTCTTCATCCTAAAAACAAAAGTAATAGTGTCTCGTGTGTGTTTCAGAATGAGAAGTGCCATCTGTTGATCGAGCATGAGACTCAGAAGCTGAAGGAGCTGGATGAGGAGCACAGCGCAGAGCTCAAGGACTGGAGAGACAAACTCAGACCCCGCAAGAAGGTACTTAATGTTATTAACAGTAGTACTGAACCTCAGGCATAGTTCTGAAGTTATGAATGGTTGAGTCACTATAAATGTTGCACATGAAACCTGCAATGGAAATTTATATACACTACCATTCAAAAGAGGCTGGTAAGATTTGTAAAGGTTTTTATTTCTTATCTATTTGTTTAAGTACAGCAAAAACTGTAATATTGTGAAATATTATTACAGTTTAAATGACTGTTCTCTATTTGAATATATTTTAAAATGTAATTTATTCCTACGAGGACAAAGCTGAATTTTCAGCCTCATTATTCCCAAGTGTCGCATGATCCTTCAGAAATCATTCTAATAAAATCATTCGTTGCGATTTTGCTGCTTAAGAAACATTTTCCTATTATTATCATTGTTGATAACTGTTGTGCTGCATAATATGTTTGTGGAAACCATGATAATTTTTTTCAGGATTCTTTGAAAGTAAAAAGAAACAGCATATTTCATAACATTATATGCCTTATATCAGTCTTTTAATGTGACTTTTGATCAATTGAATGCATCCTTGAATAAACTATTAATTTCTTTTAAAAAAATAACTTTTTATTAATATTTTCTAGGTTATTTTCAATCTTCATTAAACCAATATATTGTGATATCATTAAGCAATTAAACTGCTGTTCTTTCTGATAATTCAGAGAAATTACACGGTATCTTGTGCTCTTTGTGTACATTGAATGAGACTTTTAAAGGTGCACTTCTTTTTCATTTATTAAAAATGGCATGTTTAGATCACACGACAAGCCAAATCTGCTGTGTTTCAAAGTCTGCTGATCTTGCTAAACACCGTTACAAGACTTCTTTGCACTGAATGAATCTATAATGGCTGACTATGAAACGCTTTTGTGTAATGCTTCATCCACACCACCAGGTGTCAGTATAAGTCCAGTAAATCATTACTGAGTGCACCTTTAATATTCCACGTTTCAATCATGTTAAAAAGGTTGCATTGGTTAATGTACTAAGAACGTGAAACATCTGTGTGCAGGCCCTTGAGGAAGAGTTCGCCCGTAAGCTACAGGAACAGGAAATGTTCTTCAAAATGAGCGGGGAGTCTGCATGCCTTAACCCCTCCACCCAGAGCCGGATCTCGAAGTTCTACCCCGTCCCGAGCGTCCAGTCCACCGGGTTTTAACGCACACATTCACGCTAAAAGCACAGACATGCTAAACTGCATTGTGACTGAACTTCTGCTGCCTTGTTCCCTCTGATCGCTGATGTCAGTCAGAAGGAAGGAGGGACTTCATAGTTCCAGTAAACTCCAGAGAAGTTTTTTTGCTTTTGTTTTTATTTTATTATTCTTTTTTAACTTTAAAGGAGGATTTTCGGTGTGGTTTCCCTAAACCAGGGGTGCCCAAACTCGGTCCTGGAGGGCCGGTGTCCTGCAGAGTTTAGCTCCAACCCTAATCAAACACACCTGAAGCAGCAAATCAAGGTCTTACTAGGCATACTTGAGGTTTAGGCAAGCTGGAGCTAAACTCTTCGAAGCTGAACAGTCATTCCATGTATGTATTAGGTATAATCCTAAAATACCACAGTAAACCACATCGTTAAGACACTGAGACCACTGATTCGAGAGGGAATAAAGGTAAAAATCAATAAAAATAAAAAAAATAAATTTAGTGGCATACAGAATCACATTATCTTTCATAAACTATTGCTGAAATGTTTAGGGCAGGGGTGCCCAAACTCGGTCCTGGAGGGCCGGTGTCCTGCAGAGTTTAGCTCCAACCCTAATCAAACACACCTGAAGCAGCAAATCAAGGTCTTACTAGGCATACTTGAGGTTTAGGCAAGCTGGAGCTAAACTCTGCAGGACACCGGCCCTCCAGGACCGAGTTTGGGCACCCCTGCCCTAAACATTTCAGCAATAGTTTATGAAAGATAATGTGATTCTGTATGCCACTAAATTTATTTTTTTTATTTTTATTGATTTTTACCTTTATTCCCTCTCGAATCAGTGGTCTCAGTGTCTTAACGATGTGGTTTACTGTGGTATTTTAGGATTATACCTAATACATACATGGAATGACTGTTCAGCTTCAAGCTAATTTGCTTGCACTAAAGAGTCAATGCTTGATGTCAGTAGTTACGAGAACCAAGCGAATGATTTAAATCTCGAAATCAGTCTGAATCAGTTGTGTTGTTGTTGTTTTTGCCAATTCAAACAAATGTTCTTAAATTTGTTGATTTCAATTATAATGAAGTTTAAAGGCACATTATTTAGAGGTAAATAAGGACATTTCTTGGTTATTTTGTGTATGAATTACAGGATTTAAATATATTTGATTCTGTTATCTCACATCACTTTTATTGAGCTTTGTTTACCATAAAATGGATCTATAGGATTTAAAGTAGCAGCAGTTTTTAGCATAGCATCCACACTGTATGAAAATATCCTGACGTCACTGTGGTTTAAAGTGCATTTGCGCTTGCACTGCTATGCAATGTGAACATGTAGCCTAAGTAAATCATCTCAACTTTCAATTATGTCTGTGAGCTTCAAAGCAAGAGAGCTCAATCTCGTCATAATGTCCATGCTACTTATTCTCCAAAAAATACCAAATGGTTTTTTCAAATGCATGCGTTTTAGTTTCATTGAGATTCACTCAGACACCTCTACAATACATTATGGTACTTTTCGGTAAAATTGTATAGAGGATGATGTGTCCTGTGAACCGACACGGCTTTAATCAGTCAGGTATTGTATATTGTAGCACTTTTTTTTGTACTAGATTTCCTTTCATCTCAACTTTCAACATACAGTTCTAAATGTGTTTACTGCATTTACATTTGTGCCGTAATCTGTAAAAACTGAACAAAACATTTAAAATCTGTGAGAAAAGACAAATGTCAAAACATGAATTTCTTGTCATTATGATATCCTGAGAGCATTGCTCATGTTTTACAGCACATTTGACTGAACAGAGAGTGCCGTGCACCTCCTGATAAAGGAATTCCTGCAGGTAGTCGCATACTCAGTACATTCATGACGCCTGTTTGCATTTTCATAGACTTTTTTTTTTTAAAGCTTTTTCAACTGATGAGGTAAAGTTAGTAGCATAACAGTTGTATGTACTGTGTTTGTGTCAAAGATCAAATCATTGTGATTATAGGAAGCTGCTGTAATTAAAACATTTGTGGTAAATAGTTCAGTTGTCTGGGTCTCTGTATTCAAGTCTCTCTCTGTTTATGAACATTACTGTAGGTCTGTCTGTAAGTCACAGCTTTAAAATAAAAAGCAATCTTTATTCTCAATTTAAATGTCAAGCCACTTTTAAGTCTAATGAAAGCAGTTTAAAAACGCAAATGGCAAAAAGCACAATTTAAAGCACATACCCAGATTATATGTTAAATCCCATTCTGCAGTCATGCAAGAAAACCAGACTTTCATGATGAGGAAAAAATACATTTGCAAAAATGTTTTTTCTTTAAAAACTGGCATCATAAAGGTGAATTTGATCATGTAATGCTTGTTAATTCAATGTGAATATATTTAGCTTTCGGTAATAAATTGATCTAACACTGTCCAAAAAAATAAAAATAGAAAAGAATAAATATGTACATGTCATTTTTAAAGCCTTAGCAGCTTAAAGCACACCAGCTAAATGCACTCTTCTAAATGACTGCTCCTCCTCCTCCTCCTCCGAGTGACATATGAAGCCTCACCTGTGGGGAAAAAAGGTTTATGACATTCTCATGAAAAAAAAAAAAAAAATTATGATTATTCATGCATTTAGTAAACTGATAAATACCCTTCTCTCCCTTCTCTCCTTTCATTCCTGGGAAGCCTGGGGTACCTGGTGGACCTGTGAATCCTCTGTCACCTGGATATGAAACAAGGTAGATGAGATTTGTACAGTTGTGCTGTTGACATCTGTGCATATGAACATCATATGGGCATGTGATAAGTAGAACATGTACCTTTTGGTCCTACTGGTCCAGAATATCCCGGCTCCCCTTTCTGCCCTGTTATACCTGGTGGTCCAATCATACGGTGGTCTACAGAAACAGTCAATTGTAATTAAAATCATGCATAGTAAATATATACGATTTTTTTTTTTTTTTTTTTAACAAGTTCCATCTTGCCTCTGATGTAGTCTATGATTGCAGTCATGTTGGAGTAAGGAAGTTCTGGACTGATTCCTGGAGGTCCAGGGCGTCCAGGGGGTCCACTGAATCCTATTGGACCTGGTGGACCTGGTAGACCTGGTGGACCTCGTGAACCTGGAATCCCTATCACACCATCTTGACCTTGTAACAGGCCATGAGCTGTGGAAAAATGCAAACATTCAAGACTCAACAAAGAGTTCCTACATCTTTTTCTACCCATATCTTGTTTTTTCAAGGCTATTTATAAGACTGTCACATGTAGCATAACTTACACTTAATGTAATCTGAAACCTTTTTAGCGATGACTGCGTAATCCAAATTCTCATCAGAGCTTGGGTGCCCTGCAAACGTCAAGTCACATTTGTTTATACAGCGCTTGATACAATACAGGTCATTTTAAAGCAGCTTTACCATATGTGACCCTGGACCACAAAAGCAGTCTTAAGTCGCTGTGCCATTTCTTTTGCATATGAGAGACCACAAACGGCAAACAAGACCGAAGCGGAATGAAACTCTGCTGCTCCAAAGTACTTTTTCTCAGCTATAGGTTTCAGACAACACTCTTCATTATTTTCTAATGCTTAAAGATGAAAAATAAACTAAATGCTTTAATTGTAAATTGGTCATGTAGATGAGAGGCCCTAATGACCTTTGTGACCTAAGCTGTCAAATCATTTAATATTTCGAAGAATAATCGCAGAAACCATTTGAAAGGATATATATATATTGAAGCAGTGGTGAAGCACCTCTTCAAATTGATAGTGACAGCCCAGTTGTGTTATTTTTGTCTCTTCACTTGGCTTTTGAAGCAACGGCGTGCTGCTGGTTAGAATGTGCTCTGATTGTCGTCCTGTGTTGTTCAGGCAGCGCCCCCTCATGTGTTAAAGCTCCCAGCGCAACTCCATTCATGATATATCAGGACAGAGATGAGCAGGAGAACGGAGGGTGAGACACGAGGCCTTCGTTCATCCAGTAATGTGAATGGTTTCTGTAAGTGACCTCTGACCGTGTTCTCTCCATCTGTCCTTCAGTTCTGGCCAGTACCGAAGCAAACCACCACAGAGCCGAGCGCTGATGGAAGTCCCAGTGTCCAAAGCCAATGTAAGCACTGTTCGCAGCTGTAGAGTCATAGAGGCCAGTAATCAAGCAAGTCTGTTGACGTTGTGTGTCTTTATTAGGACACTCCAGTCAGCGCAGAGTCCATCACGGATGAGAGTACCCTGTGGGCAGCACGTAACGTCTCTGTAGGCCCGTGTCCCAACCACACCTGTGACTTCTCCCTGTCTGCTCATCTGGTGTCCACACCGCTCCACCCTCATGCACCGCACTCATGGGACATGGAGGAGCTGCAAGGTATTCATCCTCATTTACCTGCTGCTCTTGAGTGAGCTGTGTTGATCTGGGTGTGATTTGTGACTGTCTTCTCTCAGAGGAAAGCGCAGGGGTCAGGGGCATCAGCGGAGCAGAGGAAAACCCGTACATACGACAGCCCACCAAACTCAGGTATCAGCACAACATCATTACTCAAGCATTTCTTCTGCTTATTTCATGCATATCATCCATAGTGTATCCACCTTATTTTGCAACTAGGAAGTAAGCTATTTCCTTGTGAGTCTTATGATTCTTTAGCCTGCACTGCAAGTAGGGCTGCACTGAACAAGTACGATACCGATACTTTCTTTTTATTTTTTATTTTTTATTTTTTTTGTACTGGGCAACGATTAATCGCATCCAAAATAAAAGATTTTGTTTACATAATATATGTGACCCTGGAGCACAAAAGCAGTCTTAAGTCGCTGGGGTATATTTGTAGCAATAGCCAAAAAACACATTGTATGGATCAAAATTATTGATTTTTCTTTTGTGCCAAAAATCATTAGGATATTAAGTAAAGATCATGTTCCATGAAGATATGTTGTAAATTTCCTACTGTAAATATATTAAAACTACATTTTTGATTAGTAATATGCTAAGAATTCATTTGGACAAATTTAAAGGCGATTTTCTCAATATTTAGATTTTTTTGCACCCTCAGATTCCAGATTTTCAAATAGTTGTATCTCGGCCAAATATTGTCCTATCCTAACAAACCATACATCAATGGAAAGCTTATTTATTCAGCTTTCAGATGATGTATAAATCTTAATTTCGAAAATTTAATTTACCCTTATGACTGTTTTTGTGGTCCAGGGTCACATATTAAACAGGAAAATAACAGAATCAATCATGTAAACGTCATTAAATATGAGACAAATTCAAATAATGCTTTTAAAGCAGCTCTAAAAAGACAATAATAGTGTCATTATTCAGCTCAAGTCCCTGTTGATTCAGTTCAGTTCAATAACGATGTACAGTTCATTAATTACAAAACAAGTTTCATTCAGCGATAAGCAGCTTTACAGGTAACAACAGTGCTGTTATCCAGGGACGTCAGTTCAATATTGATTCAGTTCAGTTCAATAACAGTGCTGATGTTGCAAAATTCATCAGTTACTAAATTAATTTGATTCATCTGTAAAGCAGCTCTTCAGAAGACAATAGTGTCATTCAGCTCAAATGAGTTAAAGTTTTGATCTCATCTAATAAACATGCCACCAATGAACTACTGAAGAGAGACTTAAGATCAAATGTGTTTAAGAAAACCCTCTTCTTACTTTTGATATACTCCTGAGGCTCTGCATGGATTTGTGGTTGGTTTTCATTAACAGCGTAAGACAATAGTCCTCCAGAGCCTCCTGGTGGTCCTTGAGGTCCTGGGGGACCGGCAGGTCCTGGCAGACCTGTGAAACCAGCATCTAAAACAACACAGATCATCCTTTTAATACAAGCTGTTCCTATTAAATTAATTTTGATAACATTTCAGCTGTTGTCTCCAGATATTGAGATTTGTAGTTGACAGATGTTTTTTTTTTTAAATGGTCAATTCTTGCTATTAGCAAACTTTAAATAATCAAAAGCTTAATTTTGAACTGATTCATATAGACTAGTGTTTCTTGAGCACAAATCAGCATATTAGAATGATTTCTGAAGGATCATGTGACACTGAAGACTGGAGTAATGATGCTGAAAATTCTGCTTTGCATCACAAGAATAAATTACATTTTAAAATATATTCAAATAGAAAACAGTTATTTTAAATGATATTAAACTTCACAATATTACTCTTTTAACTGTATTTTTTTATCAAATAAACGCAGTCTTGTTGAGCATAAAAGACTTCTTTCAAAAACCTTAAAAACTCTTATCGACTTGTGAACAGTAGTATATGTTACAGGACTTTTATCTAAGCCATATGACCCAGGTCCTACCATTCAACAGTCTCAGCACTCGTCCAGCAACTTCCTGAGTGTTAAAGCCATATCCACCTGGCACACCTGGGGGTCCTGGGGGCCCTGGAGGACCAATCAGGTACTGCCTCACCTCATCTCCTATAAATAACCAAAGAAATTGTGGATGCACCAAAATCTTTCATAAACCACATTAGTTGAAAGTTAAACACATTTCACACTCACTTTGAAGGTATTCAATGACACGGTTAGCTAGCAAATCTTCAGAGCCTGATCCGGTAGGTCCTGGTGGTCCAGGTGGGCCTGGAGGTCCAGTCAGGTATTCTCTGATGGGTTCACCTACAGAAGACATTAAATATTACAGTCATGGAGCTTATTTACCCATTTATCTCGATAACTAGTTAAAGGTGTCTTTTCTAGTGGCACCAAATGGAACCTAAACTTCTAAAGATGCTTTTCTTCTCAACATTTGTTGCCCCAATGCTAGCATGTCGTGGTCAGCTGCTATGCAGTTCTTAAAGGGATAGTGCATGAAAAAGAATATTAATTCTGTTGTCATTTACTCAGCCTCATGTCTTTCCAAATCTTTCCAAAAAAGCTATTTTGCTATGAGAACTGAAACTGTTTGCTCATCAACATCCTTGAAAATATCTTCTATAATGTTTCACAAAAGAAAGAAAGACATACATTTTTGGAATGACATGAGGGTGAGTAAATGATAACAGAATATTCATTTTTGGATGAACTATCCCTTTAAGTTGTTCCAGTTTTTAAGGGAGTTGCTTGGGTGCATAAAAGTTCTTCATGTTCTCTTAAACGTACTTCTAAGGTAGTCTGAAATCTGTTGAACAACATCTGGTGAACCGCCACCCGATGAACCGGGTGCTCCAGGAGGCCCTGGGGGTCCAGGTGGACCTGGTGATCCCGGAGCACTTCTGGATCCTCCACCTTATAAAACAATCACATAAAACACTCTGTTTCACTACAGAAATGGTTTATGGCTCGTGTCATTGCAGATATTGGATCAATAGACCCGTTTGCCTACCGTAGGAGTATCCCGGAATGCCAGGGGCCCCTGGGACTCCAGCATCACCTTTGTTTAAATAATAAAAAAGGTGTAATTAAAATGTTGGTACACAGATGTAGAAACACTAACTCCATTTATAATTGCAAGTGTTTTACTGTAACTGGAGGATGTTTTTTTTTTACATGGGCATATGTGAAAACTATGTAAAACACAAATATAGTTTGCTCCAAAGTACCTTTTGGACCTTCTGGCCCTATGGGACCCATTGGTCCTTGAGGTCCCTGTGGTCCTGGTGGACCCTCAGGACCTTGTTCTCCACGTGGTCCTGGTGTCCCTGGCTGTCTTGGAATACCTGGATTCAGGGAAATATAATCTGAACTTTTCAGCCGACTATTGTAGAATAACGAAACATTTTTTTATTTTTATTTTTATTATACAAATCTGAATCACTAACCGATTCCAGGTTCTCCAGGTAATCCAGGCTGGCCTTGAGCAGAGAAAGATCCAAGAGAAGTTTATATGTAATCCAAAAATGTCAGAATGATTATATGCTGTATGTGTGATTGAACGGGACGGTCTTACCAGGGAAGCCTTGAGGACCAATATCACCTGAACAGAAGACATTAAACATTAGAATTCACAGGGTCCACAGGATCCAGGATCTCAAGAAAAAATATATATACTGTATATGTAATGTGTATTGGATCTACCTTGTGATCCCTTTGGTCCAATAGGTCCAGGAGGCCCAGGTGGTCCAGCAAAGAAGGTTTCTGATTGATCGCAAAAACCACAGTCAGATCACTTTTATACCATAATTTAAGATCAATGTCTCAAATGCTAATACTTACAGTAAATTAAAGCATACCTGAAGTGGGTACAAAGCTTCCTGGTTTACCTTTTTCACCAGGAGGACCAGGTTGACCAATACCTGTGGAAAAACGAAATAAAAATTGAATATCGTAGCAATACAGAAATGCCATCTGGAGAAAATTAAGTCAGACTAATCTAAATTCAGGAACTATGTACCTGGTTGTCCATCATTCCCAGGTGGTCCTGGCGGACCAGGTGGGCCAGGAGGACCAGGTTCAGAAGGAGCTTTCTCTGTTCAATTGAGATGAAGAGTGAATTAATGATATAAAAGCATTTATTATGTACATTTTAAAAGTGAACACACTCACTCCCTGCACTCTCAGAGACTCCAGGCTTCCCATCTTCTCCTTTGTCTCCTTTATCTCCCTTTGAACCTGTAGAGATTCAAATGTCAGGGAACTAAAATGTTCTGATTTCAGTCTTTCTGTTTTATAGAAAAAGAAATCTCACCAGGTGGACCAGGAAGACCAGCAGGACCAATAGGACCTATGGTTAAAAAAAATTTAATCAATGTTAGCACGGGCATACTGCTGTTTAACTGATTTTTTTCATTTCATATTAAATCCATGATGAACTTCATGACACCTGATAGTCCAGATGGTCCAGCAGGACCCGGAGCTCCATGAGGTCCAGGAGGTCCAGGTACACGCACAGTGTTAGTATTAGCGCCTACAAGGAGTGATAAGATGATGAATGATGTCACCATCAAATGAGCCAGATTAATAATATTATCATTATTACTACTAACTAATTATCATTTGTGTTCCCTCACCTGCAGAAATGACTCTTCCGGGCTCACCAGGCTCACCTAAAGAGACAACATCATGTATGTGGTAAGACAGCGTTTATTTCTGTATATACATCATACCACTTCTACCTAATACAAACTTCAGTCATAATGCTATGTTATTAGGTAGAATTTAATGAATAAATAAATAAATAATACCTTTAGCTCCTGGCTGGCCCGGAGTACCTGGCAAACCTATCGTTGGGAAATAAGTGGTTAAAATAAAATAAAATAACATTTGTCCGGTGAAGGTTAACTTGCAAGTGTCTGCAGTTTCACCAAAAAAAATAAAATAAAAAAATAACTGCAAAATATGTTTTGTTTAATATATGCAGCTGAGAACAAGTAAAATCTAATCTGGTGGTCCTTGGAGTCCTGGTGCACCTGTGCAGAAAAACACTTTCTTTACACGGTTTGCATTATTAACAATTATGTTTAAAAAGCATGAAAAGAGCAAATGATCTTAGTGTGATTCATGGTGTGAACTTTCTTTTCATTTATACCTGGTATTCCTGCATCTCCAGGAGGCCCTGAGGGTCCCCGAGCTCCAGGCAACCCAATCGGACCTTGATCCCCTTTAATTTAAATGAAAGAGAAATTTAAAGAATGCATGCTTGAAAAGAAAGACAGACTAATATTTTCCCAACACTTAGTCTTAAAATTACCTCGAATTCCTTTAACACCATCTGGCCCAGGAGCACCTGTAAAAAATGAAATATGATATGATATATGATATGATACAGCACATACAGCTCTTTTCAATCCAAAAGTTTGGGGTCAGTAAGACTTGTTTAATGTTCTTGAATGGTCTCTTATGTTTACCAAGGCTGCATTTATTTGATCAAAAATATAGTAAAAACGGTAATATTGTGAAATATTTTTATAATTTAAAATAACTGTTTACTATTTTAATATATTATAAATTGTAATTTATTCCTGTGATGCAAAGCTGAATTTTCAGCATCATTACTCCAATCTTCAGAGTCACATGATCCTTCAGAAAGCACTCTAATAGCTGATTTGCTGCTCTTATTATAAATGTTGTATAAAAGTGTTACAGGCTTTCTTTTACTCAAGTTTCTCTTTCTGTGATGAAACCTACCTGCTGATCCTTTAAGACCTTTCTCACCAGGAGGCCCTGCTGGTCCGACCTGACCTGGCTCACCTGTCAAAAAATATTATATGCGAAGGTGAAAAAAAAAGCCACAGTGATTTATGTATATATATATATAGTTGTAAGAAAGATAACTCACCAGTGGCACCACGTGGACCTCTCTCTCCTTGATCGCCTAATTTAGTAAAAAGAAAAAAAAGTAATTATAATCATCAGCATAAAAACTTTAGAAGTACATGAAAAACAGCATTACTGCAATACCCGATATGTGACCCTGGAGCACAAAACCAGTCTTAAGTCGCTGGGGTATATTTGTTGCAATAGCCAAAAATACATTGTATGGGTCAAAATTATTGACTTTTCTTTTATGCCAAAAATCATTAGGATATTAAGTAAAGATCATGTTCCATTAAAATATTTTGTAAATTTCCTACTGTAAATATATCAAAACTTAATTTTTGATTAGTAATATGCATTGCTAAGAACTTGACACTTATGACTGGTTTTGTGGTCCAGGGTCACATATATCTATGGTTTCTACTGACCTTTGACCCCAGGTGGCCCAGCAGGTCCTTTATCACCTAAAATATTAAAAAATGATGAAAACAAATAGTTCACATTAAATTCTTGAATGGGAAAATGTTAAGAAAATATATATTTACCTTTGGGTCCAGGATCACCAGAGTCTCCACGGAAGCCTTGTGGTCCAGGAGCTCCTGGAAGACCTGGTACGCCTCGTGCACCTGCATCGCCTGCAGCGACAAAACACATTTTTCTCCAGAGATTTAGGTCCATCTTTACTAGCAGCTTCAGAATAAATATATCTGTAAGTATCTATTTGCTAGCAGAATAATTTCTATATACTGTACTGATATTTCTCTGCTTGTTTCTCTCTTTGTCTGGGCGCAGATGGTCTTACCTTTGGGTCCCACAGGGCCTGGTGGTCCTGCTAGCCCAGGTGCACCAACATCGCCAGAAGAACCTGGGGAGCAAACGCAGAGCAATTAACAAGTCATTTTTTCATCTTGTTGTCAAGGGCTTGTGTATAAATGTTTATATTATAACAGTAGAAATAATTATGACAATGGTATCACCTTTCTCTCCTTTCTCTCCAATTCCTGGGGGTCCTGGTTCTCCTCTGTGACCCGCTGGCCCCTCTCGACCCCTCGGCCCAGGTAAACCGTCATTTCCTGATTCACCTGTGAATAATACACACAAGCAGGTGTTGTAGGTCTGAATCATCTTTGTCACATTTGAGCATCTTCAACTGTAATACAAACAATTGTGACCCTGGAGCACAAAACCAGTTTTAAGTAGTATATTTGTAGCAATAGTCAAAAAAATATTAAGTAAAGATCATGTTCCATGAAGATATTTTGTAAATTTCCTACCGTAAATATATCAAAACTTAATTTTGGATTAGTAATATGCATTGCTAAGAACTTAATTTGGACAACTTTAAAGGCGATTTTCTCAATATTTTGATTTTTTTGCACCCTCAGATTCCAGATTTTCAAATAGTTGTATCTCGGCCAAATATTGTCCTATCCTAACAAACCATACAACCATACATCAGATTATGTATAAATCTCAATTTCAAAAAATTGACCCTTATGACTGGTTTTGTGGTCCAGGGTTACAGTTGACTGGTAGAAGTTAGTCCTCGTTCAGTGTCTCTGCATCATACCTGCACTTCCTTTGGGTCCTCGAGGACCTTCCTGTCCAGGGTGACCAATGAGACCAGGAGGACCTGAAAAGATGCCATTCATTAACTCAGTTTATTAATTTAGGCTTTTCTTAGTACATTTCAAATCAGTATTTCTTTATTCATATATTTAGGTATGTGTCAGTAGGTACAGTATAGAGTCAGTGCAAAGGATTGAAATGTTTGTGATATAAAAAAAGTACCTGGAATTCCAGGAAACCCTGCATCACCTGTAAAATTATTTGTAATATTATTAAAACATTTTCATAATATTTCATAATATATCTGATATATTTGTGATATTGTTGTCATACATTTGTGATATTATGTGACATTATTGTGATATAACTTATACATTTGTGACATTGCTGTGATATTGTGATATTTGTTATGTGTGATACTATTGTGATGTGGCATTATTGTGATATATTTGTAAATAATTTCTGATATTATGATACTGTTGTGATAATGTGCCATTACTGTGATACATTTCTGATATATTTTTTATATTATGTGACACAATATTGTGATATGTTTGTGTTATAATTAATAATTGTGATATTTGTTATGTGTGATACTATTGTGATGTGGCATTATTGTGATATATTTGTAAATAATTTCTGATATTATGATACTGTTGTGATAATGTGTATATTTTTTATATTGTGACACAATATTGTGATATGTTTGTGTTATAATTAATACATTTGTGATATTGCTGTGATACTGTAATATATTTGTGATATTATGTGATGCAGTTGTGCTGTGACATTATTGTGATATACTTGTGATATAATTGTGATACATTTGTGATATTATGTGACACTGTTGTGATGTGTGGCATTGTGATATAATTGTAAAACATTTGTGATATTATGATGTATTTGTGATATAATTGTGATACATTTGTAATTTTGTGATACATTTGTGATATAACTAATACGTTTGTGATATTGCTGTGATATTGTCATATATTTGTGATATTATGTTATGTTGTGATGTGATATTCTGATATAATTGTAAAACATTTGTGATATTATGATGTATTTGTGATATAATTGTGATACATTTGTAAATTTGTGATACATTTGTGATATCATACGTTTGTGATATTGCTGTGATATTGTCATATATTTGTGATATTATGTTATGTTGTGATGTGATATTGTGATATATTTGTAATACATTTGTGATATTATGATACTGTTGTGATAATGTGTTACATTATTGTTATATATTTGTGATATAATTGTAATACATGTGATATATGTGTAATATTATGTGACACTGTTGTGATAATGTGTGACACATCTGTGATTTTATGATTTATTTGTGATATAATTGTGATCCATTTGTGATATTGTAATATATTTGTGATATTATGTGACACTATTCTCATAATGTGTGACACTGTGATGTTTGTGATGTAATTGTAATGAATCTGTGATATTATGATTTATTTGTGATATAATTGTGATCCATTTGTGATATTGTAATATTTTTGTGATATTATATGACACTATTCTCATAATGTGTGACACTGTGATGTTTGTGATGTAATTGTAATGAATCTGTGATATTATGATATATTTGTGATACATTTGTGATATTGTAATATTTTTGTGATATTATGTGATACTGTTGCAATATTATGCATGTCTATTTGTGAATCTCACATATTTGTGAATCTGACAGTTCGGTGTTATATTTTTATGAATACCTTTCACTCCAGGAGGTCCTTGGTCTCCTAGAATGACATTTGAAACGTATGAATAAGTAAAAATGCATATTCACTCCGTATTTCTCCAGATTTATCTACTGAATGTATTTATCTGTAAGTGTTACCTTTAGGCCCAGGTTCTCCTCTCTCACCCTTAAGTGAAGTTGCCAGTGAAGCTATAATGAAATCATAAAAATGCATAAATGTTTAGGTAACTGACTGGATAAATCATATGTTTAGCATGAATAAATGGTAAACACCTCTAATGGTGTCCGACTGAAGTTCAGATCTGAGGATCTGTTGGATGGCCCTCTGCAGAACCACAGGGTCTTGTGCAGCAGATGCTGAACCCAGGTTTATAGTGTTATCGGCACGGACGTTATTTGTGATATAATTGTGATCCATTTGTGATATTGTAATATTTTTGTGATATTATATGACACTATTCTCATAATGTGTGACACTGTGATGTTTGTGATGTAATTGTAATGAATCTGTGATATTATGATTTATTTGTGATATAATTGTGATCCATTTGTGATATTGTAATATTTTTGTGATATTATATGACACTATTCTCATAATGTGTGACACTGTGATGTTTGTGATGTAATTGTAATGAATCTGTGATATTATGATTTATTTGTGATATAATTGTGATCCATTTGTGATATTGTAATATTTTTGTGATATTATATGACACTATTCTCATAATGTGTGACACTGTGATGTTTGTGATGTAATTGTAATGAATCTGTGATATTATGATTTATTTGTGATATAATTGTGATCCATTTGTGATATTGTAATATTTTTGTGATATTATATGACACTATTCTCATAATGTGTGACACTGTGATGTTTGTGATGTAATTGTAATGAATCTGTGATATTATGATTTATTTGTGATATAATTGTGATCCATTTGTGATATTGTAATATTTTTGTGATATTATATGACACTATTCTCATAATGTGTGACACTGTGATGTTTGTGATGTAATTGTAATGAATCTGTGATATTATGATTTATTTGTGATATAATTGTGATCCATTTGTGATATTGTAATATTTTTGTGATATTATATGACACTATTCTCATAATGTGTGACACTGTGATGTTTGTGATGTAATTGTAATGAATCTGTGATATTATGATTTATTTGTGATATAATTGTGATCCATTTGTGATATTGTAATATTTTTGTGATATTATATGACACTATTCTCATAATGTGTGACACTGTGATGTTTGTGATGTAATTGTAATGAATCTGTGATATTATGATATATTTGTGATACATTTGTGATATTGTAATATTTTTGTGATATTATGTGATACTGTTGCAATATTATGCATGTTTGTTTATGAATCTCACATAATTTTGAATCTGACAGCTCGGTGTGATATTTTTATGAATACCTTTCACTCCAGGAGGTCCTTGGTCTCCTAGAATGACATTTGAAACGTATGAATAAGTAAAAATGCATATTCACTCCGTATTTCTCCAGATTTATCTACTGAATGTATTTATCTGTAAGTGTTACCTTTAGGCCCAGGTTCTCCTCTCTCACCCTTAAGTGAAGTTGCCAGTGAAGCTATAATGAAATCATAAAAATGCATAAATGTTTAGGTAACTGACTGGATAAATCATATGTTTAGCATGAATAAATGGTAAACACCTCTAATGGTGTCCGACTGAAGTTCAGATCTGAGGATCTGTTGGATGGCCCTCTGCAGAACCACAGGGTCTTGTGCAGCAGATGCTGAACCCAGGTTTATAGTGTTATCGGCACGGACGCCAGGGATGCGCTCAGTGTATGAAGACTCCAGTGGATCAATGATGTTGACAGCTGAGGAGGCGGAAAAACGACTGGTTCGAGCAGAGACTGTGCTTTCTCCGCCATCAATAGCGTCCACACGAGCCTTCAGCTTCCGGACCTCCTCACCTAGACAGAGAAATGTTCATTATGAAGGAAACTGTCAAAGTACAAGGTATACCAATTAGTCTCAAATAACATTTTGAGACATAATGTACCCAGTGTGATGAGACCACAGAGGAGTCCCAGCAGAAGGAGAAGACCTAAGATCAGTGCCAGAAGCCACTTCCACCACGAGCAGCAGGAACAGAATCCTAGTCCTGCGTCATCAGACTCATCTTTACGGATCGCTGTTGTGACATTAGAATATGCGACTATGAACAAAACCAGATTCAACAGGCCATCATTGCTGAATGAGTTGATGTTTATGAAAGTTTTTCTATAACCTGCATAGGTTGACTTGTCTTTTGTTGAGGCTCTGGAAGCTGAAAACACATAAATTATGGTTTTATTGGATGTAATTTAAGGGAGGATTTTACTATTAACTAAATAATATACAGTAAGTGACTTTATCTGAGTGCACCAGTCATTGTGGATTCTGTAGTGCTGGAGATCATCTTTTTCTCCCTCTTGAGCGAATCTTCAGAATCTGTTATATAAAAAAACTTTGTCACAAATACATTTCTACTAAAATATTATGTTAATTAAAAAGTAATATGTAAAATAATCATGTCATACACTGATCATAATGTACTTATTTTTTATTTATTTTAACTATTTTTGTTCAAAAGCTTGGGGTAGGTAAGATTTTGTGTGTGTGTGTGTGTGTGTGTGTGTGTGTG